TCGCCGTCGGGCGTCTGTTCTTCGCTCAGACGGGACGGGGTTAAAGGAGCCGCTGATTCGGGGGCTCCGGCTCACTCAGGCCTGGGAAAGGGAAGAGTACGGAGTGCAGGGCGAGCCTGCGGCGGCAGAAGCCATCGTGACATTGCACCAGCCTGAGGCCCTCCCTGCGTTCTCCCGGGGAAGTTGTCCCTGGATCCCGGGACCCTGGCAGTGGCGGGCTGCACAGGCTTCCCGGAAGGGAGGTGTGGATAGTGAGCTGTGCTGGCACATAGGCTTCTGGGTGGCGGCAGCAGCAGCCTTAGCGTCTCATGCCCGTCTCTGGGGTCCGTGCTGTTAGCCGCGGCTCGCACCCGTCTCTGGAGCTCCTTTAAGCAGCGCTCTTAATCCCTTCTCCTCGCGCACCAGGAAACAAAGAGGGATGAAAAAGTATCTTGACTCTTCAGCAGCCCCCGACTATTTCCTGGACTCCCTCCCGGCTAGCCATGGTGCAGTAACCCCTTCAGGCTGTGTTCACGCCGCCAGTCCTCTCCCTGCGTTCTGACCGAAGCCCAAGCCTCAGCTCCCAGCCCCGCCCACTCCGGCGGGTGAGCAGAGAAGCCTCTCGGGCTGGTGAGTGCCGGTCGGCACCTATCCTCTGTGCAGGAATCTCTCTGCTTTGCCCTCCGCACCCCTGTGGCTGTGCTCTCCTCCACGGCTCCGAAGCTTTCCCCTTTCGCCACCCACTGTCTCCGCCCGCGAAGGGGCTTCTGGTGTGTGGAAACCTTTCCTCCTTCACGGCTCCCTCCCACCGGTGCAGGTCTCGTTCCTATTCTTTTGTCTCTGTTTATTCTTTTTTCTTTTGCCCAACCCAGGTACGTGGGGAGTTTCTTGCCTTTTGGGAGGTCTGAGGTCTTCTGCCAGCGTTCAGTAGGTGTTCTGTAGGAGTTGTTCCACGTGTAGATGTATTTCTGATGTACCAGAAGGGGAGGAAGGTGATCTCCGCGTCTTACTCTTCCGCCATCTTCCCCTAGATCTTCCATTTGGTTTTGATGTAACTTTTGAACTTGAACATTTTTGCTGTGCTATTTGGGGCCCCCTAGTGGCCAATTTAATAATGATATATAGATAGTAAACTGTCAATTAGATCTAATGTACCAATTATTCTTTATGCAGATTATTCTTTCTATGAGGATTAGATGGGGGTGGGATATGTGGTTATAGTACTTATGATACTTAGCCCTCTTTGTTTTGTTATGGGTCAAGACTTGACACCTAAACTTACTATAATTTTGTTTCCTTAGTAATAATTCACTATTATAAACTGTTTGAAAATAGCGGTATATCTTTGTTTTAGCTGCTAATAAGTTAACAGCTGACATCATTGTTCTCAGCTCTTTTTCTCCAGTGTTAGATTTAGGTCCATTGTTGTATGTCTATTGGAACACCATATCCAGTTTGAAGATTATGAAAGAAAAGCCTGAATTACCAAACAAAAAAAAGATCTGATTATTATAAAAATAATAGACATTCATTATTCTTCACAATAAAACTTTTAAAATATAGAAATCTTAGAAAAAATCATCCTTAATCTTGCTTCCCAATGTTTTTCTTTCTGGGGTTTTAAAAATATTTATTTATTTATTTGGCTGCACTGCATCTTAGTTGCAGCACGTGGGATCTTTCAGTTGCGGCATGTGGGGTCTTTAGTTGTGGCATGAGACCTCTTAGTTGTGGCATGCAGAATCTTTAGTTGTGGCATGCAAACTCTTAGTTGCAGCATGTGGGATCTTTAGCTGTGGCATGTGAACTCTTAGTTGAGGCATATGGAATCTAGTTCCCTGACCAGGGATCGAACCCCTGGCCCCTCTGTTAGTCATTAGTCATTAGTTGTGGAGATATACATCTGGTGGTCATTAGTCATTAGTAATGGAGATATACATCTGGTGGTCATTAGTCATGCCATCAGATATACATCTGGTGGTCATTAATCATGACATCAGATATACATCTGGTGGTCATTAGTCACCAGTGATGGAGATATACATCTGGTAGTCATTAGTCATTAGTAATGGAGATATACATCTGGCGGTCATTACATCAGATATACATCTGGTGGTCATTAGTCATTAGTGATGGGGATATACATCTGGTAATCATTAGAAGGTATTTAGATCCTGAGACTGAAAGAAAATCACCTAGGGGGTGAGTGCAGAGAGAGAGCCAAGTACTGGGCCCTTGAGTAAGAAGTTGAGGAGATGAGGAGGAGCTAGCAAAGGAGACTGAGAAGGAGCGACTGGGGAGGTAGTGTGAGGTGGGATGAGAACCAAGAGGATGTGGTATCCCTAAAGTCAGATAGAAAGAAGAAAGCAGTGATCAGTGGTGTCAAATCCTGCTGACAGTCCGAGTAAGTTGAAAATGGGGAGTTGACTGATGCTAAGGTGGAGGTTATTGGTGACCTTGAAATATGCCGTTTCAGTGGAGTGGTTTGGACCAATGCTTGACTGGAGTGGGTTTAAGAGAGAATGGGAGCAGAGGGAATATTGACAGTTCTTTCTTTTTTTTTTTTTTTTTTTTTTTTTGCGGTACGAGGGCCTCTCACCGCCGTGGCCTCTCTCGTTGCGGAGCACAGGCTCCGGATGCGCAGGCTCCCCGGCCATGGCTCACGGGCCCCGCCGCTGCACGGCATGTGGGATCTGGCCAGACCGGGGCATGAACCCGCGTCCCCTGCATCGGCAGGCGGACTCCCAACCACTGCACCACCAGGGAAGCCCTGACAGTTCTTTCAATGAATTTTGCTGTAGAGGAGAGCAGAAAAGTGGTGCAATAAGTGGGGTGGAGGAGCTGAGGAGTAACACCTTGAGGAGCAATCACAGCATGTTTGTTTGTTGATGGAGATGCTCCAGTAAAGAGAGAAAAATCAAGATTTAGGAGAAAAGGGGAGACTTGTTGAAACCTGATTAGGAAAGAGGGTATAAGATCTAATGTCTAAGTGTCGAAGAGATGGCTTTGCATAGAAGCACGAACAGTTAGTTCGTCTGTAGTAATAGGAAGTTGGGCAAAGTATATGGGTATGATAGAAGTGGGTAAATATGTTGTTGACAAGTTGTAAATGATCACCAGCTGCACTTGAAGGTAGGGGAGGAGATGCTGGGGATTTAAAGAGTAAAAAGGTATAAAAGAGTTATCTTGGAGAACGAATGGACAGGAAAAGATAAGATTGCTGGGTACTACCTTGAGGTTAGTGGTAATGAACTAATGAATGACTAGTTTTCATTGGTTACAGGTATAGAGTAGGTGGTGATTGAACTAGGGTTCGAGTTTAGCTGGTCAGTACCTTGGAGATGAGAGCAGCAGAATTAGAGAAGTATGATAGGGAACGATTATAATAAGGGACCATGTAATCTAAGCTGGTTAAGGAGGGAAGTGAAGAATGAGGCTGTAAAAATGAAGTATGATCATTGTGTTCAACGTAGATCCCTTGTGGTCAAAGAACTGTTGGAGTTGTGCATTTAGAGGGGGTAAGTTGAGATAGGAGAAAGTAGAGTTGAAAGCTTAAATTGAAATTAAGGAAAAGTATGTAGTTATTGATAATGGTAGTTATATGATTATGAGAATGGATAACTGAGGTAGGGTGGAGAATAAAATAAGTGAAGGAGAAGAGGGCAAGGAACCAAGAGGCCAGGTTATTGGAAGGAACACCCACATTGATACTGAAATCACAAGAATTATAATTGGATAGGTTATTAGATTTGGAAGAGATGACCATGAACAAATCTTCAAGGAATGATAAGAGTGATTGGGGATAATAGCTGTTGCTTCCTGTATACTGCCATACTTCCCATACTTCCAAATGGACTTTTCATGATTTGAAACTTTCTTACCTTTTTACAAAGGACCCTGTACTCTCATCAAAAGTCCTCAGACATACCATGGTCTGTCATAACTCTGCCTTTTACAGCTGCTCGTTCTTTTGTTTAGATGCTTATAGCCATAGTGCTTACCTTCCATAGGAGCATTGCTCCCCAGGAGACTACTGTTTCCTATTTACAGCTTATAGTATTTATTACATTATTTTTAAACTATGAGTTTACATTCACTACTTTTCTCTCCTTTTTGTTCTTTTAAAACCAGGCTGACAGTTCTCTTAGGCCAGGGACTTAATCTGTCTTTTTGTCCCTGTAGCACTATAAAAAATTTATCAGCAAACTCTAGGAATAGATCTATTTAATAAATACTCTTTGGGGATTTCCCTGGTGGTCCACTGGTTAGGACGCTGCACTTTCACTGCCAAGGTCATGGTTGTATCCCTGGTTGGGGAACTAAGATCCCGCAAGCCTCGCAGCGCGGCCAAAAACAAAAAAACAAAAAAAACCCACAAACTTTTTGAAAGTCAGTTATTATTAAGTAAATATTGGTATGTTTCTTTATTTCTATCTCACTAAATATGATGCTTACTTAGGTTTACTTATATCAAGTGCCACAGTTAATGAAAAACTGTTTAAATTATAATGAGTTTTTTAATCTGTGTATTACAAAGTGACTTTTCTTAATCTGGTGTATTTTAGAGAAGATTAAAAATACAGAAGCAACTATTGATTATGCTAACAGATTAAAGATAGATAATACAGTCACTTGGACATCTTGAAAAGAGCCTTGGTTTGTTGGGGTTTTTTTTGCGGTACGCGGGCCTCTCACTGTTGTGGCCTCTCCCGTTGTGCTCCGGACGCACAGGCTCAGCGGCCATGGCTCACGGGCCCAGCCACTCTGCGGCATGTGGGATCTTCCCGGACTGGGGCACAAACCCGTGTCCCCTGCATCGGCAGGCGGACTCTCAACCACTGCGCCACCAGGGAAGCCCCAGAGCCTTGGTTTTTTATTTTCTCTCTGGTTCAAGCCTTCTGTTTTGATCTTGGGAATTGAAACGTGTGTGTGTGTGTGTGTGTGTGTGTGTGTGTGTGTGTGTGTGTTTACTTTTTTTTTTTAATATTTATTTATTCATTTTGGCTGTGGGGATGTCTTAGCTGTAGCACTCGGGATCTTCATTTCGGCACGCAGGGTCCTTTATTGCGGCATGCAGACTCAGTTGCGGCATGCGTGTGGAGTCTGGTTCCCGGACCAGGGATCAAACCCGGGCCCCCTGCATTGGGAGCATGGAGTCTTACCCACTGGACCACCAGGGAAGTCCCTAATCTTGGGAACTGAGTTCACAGTTGAAGGAAGGAGGCCCTAAACTTACATAATCAATGGCGTAAAGGAAACAGGAGATTTAAAGGTGACTATAGTGCAGTTAAACAAATGCTGTTTCCCGCCTTCTTTACTAAGTTATTGTTTAAATGGTGCAAGTTTTTCAACACAAAAAAGTGACCATGCTAAGGATTTACTCGTTTGATGTTAGTGTACTGAGCTTTATTTTCCTTAAAGAGAGTCTTTATGTGAGCAATTTTTGTGGATGCTTTGGTTTCTCCTTACGATTTCTTATATATTTTTACTTTTATAATTAAATGGAGTAACAATGTAAATCACCTATTAATTATGTTTTTGATTCATAGTTTATGTTATATTTGCTTTGGGGATATAAGTTAATATCAACTTATAAAAATTTAATGACAAAGGCTTATTTTAGATTTTTTATTCTTTCAGAAACCATGAGTGGAGGATCTCAAGTCCACATTTTTTGGGGTGCTCCAATCAGTCCACTGGAAATGACAGTATCACAGGAACCAACTTCTTTAGTGTCCACTGCGGACCCCTGGAAAGAAATTCAGCTTTTGTACAATCACCATTCCTTACATCTGAAGGATGAAAAATGCAGGCACAAAAGTCTTGAGGATTATCAGGCCCTGGAACCTCTGGACCCTCCAGATCTTCCTCGTGGTCATTTTCCAGCAAACTCTGTGAACAGATTTGTTCACGTGAAAGATGACTTCACACATTGCATTTCTGAAACACAAACTATAAAATCCCAGAAGAGTCACCCCTTGGGGTTGAGTGATAGAACCAACTCCAGTGATCAAATATGTGGATTTAAGGCTGGATTTCAACATTTAACTGAAGAAGAAAAGTATCAAAAGCTTTTCAGTGAACATAAGAAAATCACAGTTGAACAGCCTAAAGATCAATCAAATATACATGGTCAGAATGTTCCAAAAGATTCCTTTCAGTTAGATCATAAGTGTGCAGCTATATTGGATGTGATCTGTGGTGCTGAACAGACTAATACGGGGCCAGGAGCTATGGAAACAAACTGTGCACCAGCAGAGCATCATGAAATACAAAACCAGTGTCAGGAATTATTTTCCTCTAGCACAACAGACAAACCAAGGCCTGAAGGAACAGTTAGGAAGGTCTCAGGCCTTAAAATATCCACTGATACTGAATTTCTCAGTGTAATGACCTCCAGCCAGGTTGCTTTTTTATCTCAAAGGAAGTATAAAGGGCAGAATTCTATAAATAAAGGAACCATTAAAATGGAGATTGAACCAGAGGCAAGTCATGGGGAAATAAGAATAACTGAAGATAATTTGATTCAGCCCAATGATGATTCTACAGAAGGATATGAAGGTGGACAGAACCAAGCCTGTTCCCTTGAACTTTTTAGTCCTGAAACAAAAAATAGCCACATTCTCTTGAACACCGATAAAGGTCTTGAAGAAAATATAGGATCTCAAGAACTTTTCCGTTTTGATGATAAATTGACGCCAAATGAGATACGCATTGAGTCATGTAGCTCAGGAATACTGTGTTCCCAATTAAATACCTTCCACAAAAGTTCTGTTGAAAGAAGTTGGACCTCTGAAGATAAATCAGGCCATCCTCAAGCTCTATCTGAAGTCCCCCACGTCGCTAAGAAAAGCAAGTTGATTTCTAATCAGAGAGATCATACTGTAACAGTGCACCAGAGGAATGTGTCTGGATTTAAGGGCATTAAAAAAACATCGTTAATAAAAAACTGTGATTCTGAAAGTCAGAAGTATAATTGTTTAGTCATGGTGTTATCTCCGTGTCACGTGAAAGAAATAAACATAAAATCTGGACCAAATTCTGGCTCTAAAGTGCCTTTAGCAACAATTGTGGTAATTGACCAATCAGAAATTAAGAAGAAGGTTTTTCTGTGGAGGACTGCAGCGTTTTGGGCACTTACAGTGTTTCTTGGAGATATAATTTTACTCACGGGTAAGGTCATCATGGTATAGTGGGAGTTTATTTTACAAAGCTGTGGGCTTTTTCCCCCTCCCACTTTAAGCCTTTGAGGATTCTCCCTTTACCCTTTGCCTCTCAGCGTTCCAGCAATGATCGAGTTCCTTATGGCATCCGCGTTGGTCTCTTCACCCCTTCCCAGGGTCCTGTGCATTGCCATTTCTGAGCGTTTGTCTGTCCTTCTTAGTTCTGTCCCTCCTTCCCACTCATCTTCTCCTTAAGAAGCCTTCTCTGCTTGCTCCTCCTTTCATTCACTGTGCTAGCATTCATGTCGTGTATCATCAGACTCTTTGTCTTTTATAGTTTTATTTATGTATATCTTTTTTTTTACCCTTTTCCTTAGGTGTATTAACCATCTTATGATAAAAGGACAATATATCTACTACTTAATCCCTAATAAAGCTGTGCACACTACATTCTTATTGAGGGAACATAGAATTTCTATTGCATTTTAAAATTATTTAAATTACTGTAAGGGCTTGGACAACATGGGTTTGAACTGCATGGGTCCACTTATATGTGCATACTTTTCAATTGTAAACACTACAGTACTCCACTGTTTGTGGTTGGTTGAATCCGTGGATGTGGAGGAACAAGGGATATGGAGGGCTGACTGTAAAGTTATAGATGCGTTAACCCCACGTTATTCAAGGGTCGCTATTAATCACATTTGGAAATATGGAAAAGAGAAACTCCTGGTATTATACCAACCTCGTATAACCGCCAGTGGAGTTTTGGAGTGTTAACCTTCCTCTTATCTTCCCCGTGCTTCTCAATCTGTGTCTGCATACATGGGTAATAGCTGATATTTTTTGGGAACTTACTTAGTGTCAGTCCCTGTTTCAAACTTTACCTGTCTTTCAACTCTATGAGGAGAGCACTGATTATCATCCTCATTTTTCAGCTGGAGGAAATTGGGACCCAGGGAAGTGAAGTAACTTGCCCACTGTCACCCAGCTAGGAGGTGGCAAAGCAGGGTTTCACCCAGACTCCAGAATCCCTACTCTTAATATACAATTGTAATCATGAAAAACAGTTTGTATCCTGCTTTTTCACGTGAAAAAAGAAATCTTAACATTTTGTTACATGTCCTTTATTGATTTAAAGATAAACACACCAGCGTATTAGGGCAGAGATACCAGTCATTTTAAGAATGAATCCCAGGACTTCCCTGGTGGTGCAGTGGTTAAGAATCTGCCAATGCAGGGGACGCGGGTTCGAGCCCTGGTCTGGGAGGATTCCACATGCCATGGAGCAACTAAGCCCTTGCACCACAACTACTTAGCCTGTGCTCTAGAGCCTGTGAGCCACACTACTGAGCACGCGTGCCACAACTACTGAAGCCTGCGTGCCTAGAGCCCCTGCTCCACAACAAGAGAAGCCACTGCAATGAGAAGCCCACGTACCGCAGCGAAGAGTAGTACCCGCTCGCCACAACTAGAGAAAGCCCACACGCGGCAACGAAGACCCAACACAGCCAAAAATAAATAAATAAATAAAAATAAGTAAGTGGACTTCCCAATCTTAATTAAAAAAAAAAAAAAAAAGAATGAATCCCAGGACTTCCCTGGTGGCGTGCAGTGGTTGAGAATCTGCCCGCCAATGCAGGGGACACGGGTTCGAGCCCTGGTCCGGGAAGATCCCACATGCTGCAGAGCAACTAAGCCTGTGTGCCACAACTGCTGAAGCCCGCGTGCCTAGGGCCCCTGCTCCGTAACAAAGAGAAGCCACTGCTGTGAGAAGCCCGCGCACTGCAACGAAGAGTAGCCCCCACTTGTCAAAACTAGGGAAACGCCCGCGGGCAGCAATGACGACCCAACGCAGCCAAAAATAAGTGAATAAATAAATAAATTTATTTTAAAAAATAGCATGAATCCCAGACCAGGATGAAGTTGATTGAGCTTAATAGCACATCTAAAGAAAATGTGATAGAGAAGAGGTGTGGGTCAGCCTTAGAAGCTTATAAAGAAAAATCAAGGCAATCAATCACTGGTAATTCCTACCAGATGGTTTGCTGGGGGAGTGAGAACCTTAGCTAATATACGCTGGTATTTGTGTAAGATTGTCAGGTGCAGTCCCTACTGAAGAGATGAACATGGGATTGTAACAGCTTGGCATAGTCTTGTCTTACTGGTGGTATCCTTATTCGTTGGCAGCTCAGGTCATCTAACTCAGCTCTGTTCTGATTCAGTGCTTGCTGAGCAGCCCTTTCCGTATGACTTGGCTTCCAAGGTGTAAAACTGCCTACAAGGTGAGAACAGGCTGCAAGTGTTGTTCTTTGGCAATTAATGCCTTGTTGTATATTTAAACAAAAAGATTGTGTTCTGTTTTGGGTTTTTTTGTCTCATTAACTGAGCTTATGCTGCAGAGCTGAAATCTATTTTTGAGTGCTGAAAAAAATGAGGTTCCCCAGACCATAAAGAGAGGGTTAGACCGTGGACCATGGTTACTGTACCAAGGCATTACTGTCACTGTGTGTGCCTCCCAGAAGGCCTTTACCTAGCAGATGGAGACTCAACCCTGCTATCTCTCTATCTTTTCCTAGTGTCCATACAATTGTTAACAACTAGGTAACATTCTGTGAAGTGATTTACCACAATTTACTTAACCATTTTCCTATTATAGAATATTTAGATTATTTCTATGAACACCTTTTTTTTTTTTAAACAGGTTTTTTTGTTTGTTCTGTTTTGCCTTATTTTCTTAGGAAAAAAAAGTATCTAGTTCACAATTTCTGAATAAGAATGCCTTACGTTATGCTTATTAGCAGAAGGGGTAAATGCATACTGAATATATATATATGTGTATATATATATATATATATATATATATATATTTTTTTTTTTTTTTTTTTTTTGCGGTACGCGGGCCTCTCACTGTTGTGGCCTCTCCCGTTGCAGAGCACGGGCTCCAGACGCGCAGGCTCAGCGGCCATGGCTCACGGGCCCAGCCGCTCCGCGTCATGTGGGATCTTCCCGGACCGGGGCAGGAACCCGTGTCCCCTGCATCGGCAGGCGGACTCTCAACCACTGCGCCACCAGGGAAGCCCGGCAGGCAGATTCTTAACCACTGTGCCACCAGGGAAGTCCCTATTCACTGTTAATGTATCAGAAGTATACGTTGTACCATTTACCTTAAGTGAACAAAAACCATTAAACTTCTATCTGTGGAGCAGAGCTTCCATATTGATATTGTTTGAATATACAGAAGCAATTTTGTTATTTTACCTACATACAGACATACCTAGATTCAGAGTTCAGATTTGCTATTTTATCATTTTGTTCCTTTAGGCAGATGATTTACCCTATTTGAACTTCAGTTGGCTAGCATGTGAGAGGCATGCACAGTATTTTGCTATGATAGGTACGTTAACCACAATGTGAAGGAATTTTTGGCATGATCAGAACTTTTTTTTTCCCCCTTTCTAGATGTTACTATTCATGAGGATCATTGGGTTGGTGAGACAGTACTGCAATCAACATTTACCAGTCACTTATTAAATCTTGGGAGTTATTCATCTGTCCATCCTGAAGAATGTAAGACACATTTTAAATATAATAATTTCTTAGTATTTGAAGTATATTAGAAAAAAGTAGGGTTAAAATGGTAATGTTACAAAATGTCTTCTAAACAAGTTAGCTGAAAGGTATTAGTCTATTTTCTTTGTAAGAATGAAAATAGAATTTACAAAAATTAACTTGTATAGTATAATCATATTTAAGAAATATTGGGGGCTTCCCTGGTGGCGCAGTAGTTAAGAATCCGCCTGCCAATGCTGGGGACATGGGTTCAAGCCCTGGTCCGGGAAGATCCCACATGCCGCGGAGCAACTAAGCCCATGCGCCACCACTACTGAGCTTGCACTCTAGAGCCCGCGAGCCACAACTACTGAGCCCACGTGCCACAACTGCTGAAGCCCATGCACCTAGAGCCTGTGCTCCGCAACAAGAGAAGCCACCATAATGAGAAACCCACACACTGCAACTAGAGTAGCCCCTGCTCACCACAACTAGAGAAAGCCCGCACGCAGCAATGGAGACCCAACACAGCCAAAAATTAAATAAATTAATTAAATAAATTTAATTAAAAAAAAGAAAAAATATTGGGGTTCATGTTTCATTTTCTTATTTTTCTTAGAGTCAATATAGTCATGGTTCTTAACCTTTTAGCAAGTCATAGACCTCTTTGAGAAGCTATGGGCCATTTCTTCAGAAAAATAGACTTAAGTAGATAGATATAAAACCTTGCATATCATTCCAAGTGGTTCCAGGGACCTCAGAAGTTCTTCCGTGGAGTTTCTGAGCCTCTGGAATTCTTGAGGTAATGAAAAGAGGGGGTTGTATGGCAAATACATGTTCAGTTTTAAAAGAAACCACCAAACTGTTTTCCAGAGTGGCTCCTACCAGCAGTGTTTCTTGTAGTTTCTCTGCATCCTTGTCAGCATTTGGTATTGTCCTGTTTTGAAATAGTAGCCATTCTAATCAGTGTGTAGTGATATCTCATTGTGGTATTAATTTGCATTTCTCTAATGGCACAAGACAGATCTAATAGACAGAATATAACTAAGGACATAAAAGATCTAAAGAACAGTGAACAGTGTTGATCTGATGAATAGGATAGATCCTATGGATATAAATTGAACTCTACATTCTAATGATAGAAATATGCATTTTTGTCATGTGTCCACAACACAGTTAGGAAAATTGATCCTATTAGGTCATAAAGAAAATGTCAGTAACTTCTATAAAGTAGAATTATTACAAACATGCTGATCAAATGGTATAAAACTAGAATTTATTAACAATAACAACAGCATGTCCTATATCTGGAAATTTTAAACCTATTAAAAAAATCCTGGGTGAAAAAGGAAATACAAACTGATATTATAGAATTTAAAAAAAATAATGACAATGAAAACACTGCATGTCAGAATCTCTGGGATGCATTTAAGGGAGTTATCAAAGAAAAATTTATTAGCTAAACTCTTTTTATCAATAAAAATGAAAGAATAAAAATAAATGAATTAAATTCCAAACTCAGAAAACTAGCAAAAGAATAACAAAGTAAAGCAGAGAAACAGGAATGAAATAATAAATTAATAAGAATAAGAATTTAAAAATGATAATTTTAATAATAAATCAAAATCTTGTTTCAAAAAAAGATAGATGAACCAGCTAGTTAATTTGATCAAGAAAAAAGGGAGACATGCACCCCAATGTTCATTGCAGCACTATTTACAATAACTAAGACATGAAAGCAACCTAAATGTCCACTGACAGAGGAATGAATAAAGAAGGTGTATGTATATACAATGGAATATTACTCAGCCATAAAAAAGAATGAAATAATGCCATTTGCAGCAACATGGATGGACCTAGAAATTATCATATTAAGTGAACTAAGTCAGAGCACTCATATGTGGAGTCTAATTTTTAAAAATGATACAAGTGAACTAATTTACAAAAACAGAAACAAACTTACAGATATGGAAAACAAACTTATGGTTACCAAAGGGGAAACATGGCGAGGAGGGATAAATCAGGAGCTTGGGATTAACATACACACATAACTATATATAAGGTAGATACCAGCAAGGACCTGCTGTATAACACGGGGAGCTCTACTCGATGTTCTGTAATAACCTATATGAGAAAAGAGTCTGAAAAAGAATGAATATATGTATATGTAAACTGAATCACTTCATTGTACACCTGAAACTAACAAAACATTGTAAATCAACTGTAATACAATAAAGTTAAAAAGAAAGAAAAGAAAAAGAAAACGAAAAGAAAAAAGGGAGAAATCACAAAGATACAGAATAAATGACAAGGAGGAAATAATCATTGAAACAGAAATTAAAAACCAATAAAAGGGAACTTCCCTAGTGGCACAGTGGTTAAGAATCTGCCTGTCAATGCAGGGGACACAGGTTCGATCCCTAGTCCGGGAAAATCCCACATGCCTTGGAGCTACTGAGCCTGTGGGCCACAACTACTGAAGCCTGTGCACTCTAGGGCCTGCGTGCTGCAACTACTGAGCCCACGCGCCTAGAGCCCATGCTCTGCAATAAGAGAAGCCACAACAATGATAAGCACATGCACTGCAACGAAGAGCCTGCGCTCACTGCAACTAGAGAAAGCCCGCACCCAGCAATGAAGACCCAAGGCAGCCAAAAATAATAATACGTTAAAAAAATAAAAGGGTATTTTACAGAACTTAATGCAAATAAATTTGAAAAAGCTAGATATATAATTTTCTAGGGAAATACAGATTGCCAAAATTGATCCCGTTAGAGATAGAAAGCTTAAACTGACCAGTTTCTATAGAAGAAATACAGGGAATTCCCTGGCCTTCCAGTGGTTAGGACTCTGCTTCCACTGCTGGAGGCCCCAGTTGGATCCCTGGTCTGGGAACTAAGACCCCACAAGCAGTGAGGTGCAGCCAAAAAAAAAAAAAAAGAATTAAGGAACTACCATACAAAAAAGTGCTGGGCCCAGATAGTTTCATAGGAAATTCTACCAAACCTTCAAAGATCAGATAATTCCAATGGTGTTAAAGTTATTTCAGAGTATTTTTTTTAATTAATTAATTTATTTTTGGCTGTGTTGGGTCTTTGTTGCTGTGCGTGGGCCTTTCTCTAGTTGGGATGAGCAGGGGCTACTGTTTGTTGCGCTGCATGGGCTTCTCATTGCAGTGGCTTCTCTTGTTGCACAGGCTCTAGGCGTGTGGGCTTCAGTAGTTGTGGCATGTGGGCTAAGTAGTTGTGGCTCATGGGCTCTAGAGTACAGGCTCAGTAGTTGTGGCACATGGGCTTAGTTGCTCCGCTGCATGTGAGATCTTCTCAACCAGGGTTCCAACCTGTGTCTCCTGCATTGACAGGCAGATTCTTAACCACTGCACCACCAGGGAAGTCCGTGTTCCAGAGTATTGAAGAAGGAAAATCCCTAATTCCTTTTATAAAGCAAATATAACACTGACACCTAAACCAAATAAAGACATTACAAATAAAAATACAAACCAGTATTATACATGATTATTGGTACAAAAAGTTTAAACAGAATTTTAGTAAACAAAATCTAACACCACATTAGGAAAATAATGACCAAGTGAGATTTATTCCAGAAATGGAAGATTTGTTCAGTATTAGAAGATACATGAGTATCATATTTCATATTAATAAATCTAAGGAAAAAATTATATGACTATCTCCATAGATGTTGAGAAATCCTTTGAAAAAATTCAACATCAATTTATCATAAAAAGCACTCCAGGAAGTAAAAATTGAGGGATACTTTCTCCTTCTATCAATAAGTACAGTTCAGTACAGTGCTACAGTTACAATACAGTTGATACTGTATCAATAATATAGATATGCTTAGCCCTAATGCCTAATCTTATTTAATGGAGAAATACTAGAGGCATTTCCACTAAAATCAGTAATAAGATAAGAATGTTCATTATCTCTGCTATTTTTCACCATTATATAAAGACTTATTAACCAATGCAAGTAGACAAGAAGAGACATTTGAATGGGTGAAGAAGAATAAAAACTATCTCTATGTAAAAATGCTTTGATAACATATCTGGAAAACTCCAGGGACTCAAAGATAAAATCAGTTCAAACAATAAAAGAATTCAGTGGTGTAACAATACAAAAATTACTGTTAAAAAAATCAATAACGTTGTATACACAAACACCAAACAGAGGGCATAATGGTAGGAAAATACTCATTTACAATAGTAATAAAGAAGATACTTCAGAATAAATTAAACAAGAAATGTGCAACACCTATATGAAGAAAAATTTTAAATACACTAGAAAAAAATGAAGACATGAACCAATGGAAAGACAACATTCCCTATTCTTGGATGGGATGACTCAACATTATAATGATACCAGTTCTCCTTAAGATAATTTATAAATTCAATGCAGTCTCAATAAAAATACCAACATGCTATGTTATGGCATATACAACTTGATACTAACATTCATATGGAAAAACAAACATGCAAGAATAGCTAGGAAAACAGAAAAACTAGGAAAGCTAGGAAAAAGAAAAACTATGAGAGACTAGGCTTATCAGGCATTGAAACGTACTCTAAAGCCCCCATAATTAAAGCAGTGTGATACTGGTGCATGAATAGGCAACTAGATCAGTGGAACAGAATAGGAAGACCAGAATTAGACCATATATGTATAATTTAGTATATGACAAAGATGGTATCTGAAACCACTGAGGTAATGGTTAGCTTTTTAATAAATGGTACTGAGGTACCTGGGTAGCCATTTAGAAAAAGGTAAGATTATATCCATTTTGGAACCAGATAGGGTAAGGGAGTCCCCAGAGAAAGAGAACCAGGCATGGCTTTCTTGACACAAGAGAAGCCATTTTTGGCCTAAGCCATTTTGTGGTTTAAGCATGGCCATAATGCTTATCCTTGAACAGGTCTCAGTAATTAATGATCTTAAGGGAACAAAGGAATGCAGAAACCAATGACTGTTATCAGGGAAGAGAAGTAACAATAACAAAGATAA